ACAACTTCCTGCCAGGAATTGATGTTTCAAAATCATTGATTTACACTCCGCTGCTTCTGAATCCGGTCGTTGGAACGGTGATATTTTACACGCGCCCATCCGACGAGTATTTCATCTGAGTGAGTTCGATCAAAGTGAACGGCAAATCAGTACCATTGAACCAGACGCTACTGAATATCAACGAGGAGAATGAATATTGTATAGGGTCGAGTTTGACCAACCCCGTCCTCAAAAGGGACACGACCTGTCATGTGGATAAAGGTCGGGTCCAAGGGACGACCATGTAATCACGTCGGCCCCTCTGTAACGTGCACTTTATCTTTAGTTTATATATTTTATCTTTATATAGTAAATAGAGAAAAAGGGGAAATCCCTCCGCTATATAACGGGGGTTCCCAATTGTGTAAAGGAGGATTTTGGATGAATAATATTTCTACTTACTCTCTCTATCTCCCTCTCAATTTCTATCTTTCTTTCTCTGAAAAATGGATATCTCTGATCTCTGTAACATTATCACACAACTTTGTCCTTTAACTGCTCGGAATCACCAAACCACAAAGGATTACTCATACTCTAGTGTCGATTATCTTTGATTACGATTTACTACTTCTCCATATATTTGATTGATTTGCTTAAATATTGTTCGTTAACATTTTAAGTCAAACAGATATGGCGGGACGAAAATTAGTACGTCGACGACGTACACGGTGTTACAAACGGCGATGTTCAAGGCGGTAACGGAGAGATTTGTGGCGGAAGCGAAGGCGATGAATTTGACAGCGACAACTCCGGTGAAGCCATTTGAAGTGTGTTTCCCGGCGAAGTCGATTGCATTCACGCGCGTTGGACCGGCAGTGTCCACTATTGATTTGGTTCTGCAAAAAACCGGATGTTTTTTGGAGGATATTTGGGTCCAATTCGATGGTTCAGGTTAAGGCCCAAAATGTGGATGTGTTTGGGCTTTGTGGATGGTAGGCCTGAGCCCATGACGTCCATTGTGATTGTTGGGCATCATATAGATGATAATGATAATCTGGGGGATTTGGCATGGCATGACAACTAGGTCCAACAATTGGCATAAAAAAGCTAACGTTTTAGGATTTGACACATGGTAGCCTAAAGTTATTCTCTCTCTTCTTCAACCACCATCCTAAAAATAAGCCCCATCAAATTATTTTCCTTAAAAGTAGCAAAAAATATTTAAAATCCTCTCTATCTTCTCTCATAGCAACCATCATCCTAGAAATTAGGTTCCATTTCCTTCAGTGGTATCCGAAAAAACTTCCAAATATTTTTAATTATTTTTTTAGTTTTTTATCTGTATATCCAAATATATATATATATATAACACGGGTTTTTAGTAAAGAAAGCGTACCAATCCGGCAAACAAAGCAAAAACAACGGCTCCTACATAAATACAATAGAATTGAAATGTTGTCACTAGAACGGACCACACAAATAACATCTTTCTAGCGCCTAAAAGAAGTATTCAAAGATAAGATAACGCTCATTAATAATTATATTATATGTATATCACAGTGTATAACATAATAATAATGTGTATATCAAAAAAGTATATTAAAATTTCATTTTCCTTCTTTGTACAACACATTTCAGATTGAAAACTCAAGTTCAAGACGACTCCACATGTGTATCCTCTATTGTATCTCGTGTATATCCCTATGTACATCAGTGATATCTCTTGTATATCATATATATCTGTGTATATCCATGAAAATTTGTATTATATATACGATATACAATGTGATATACATGGGCATCCGTAAAAAAATTGTGTTGAGACACGATATACAAAGTGATATACACAGACGTCCTTAAAAATCTGTGTGTGATATATACTGATGTACACGATATACAAACACATGTCGTTGGAATTTTAGGTCTGATTTTTTACCTGAAACCAGTCTCAATCACTTCTAATCTTGCTCAAATTTTGTATATAGCCTAGTTTAGGTATTTTTCAACCAGTTTCAATCATACCCACTCGTTCAATCCAACCAAAAAAAAAAGAGAGAAGAAAAACAAAGTTGAAATGCATTTTTTCTCTCTTAGTTTTTGCTTCTGATTTTCTCTGATGTGAGATCAACCTTACCTTTTCATCCCACTGATTTTGTTGCATAATATGCAAGAATTTTTGCTAAACTATGAGAGCGAAAGAGAAGAGATAGAAGAAGAAATACAAGGAGGGAAAGGGGAAGAGAAGCCAAAATAAGCGAGTAGCTTTTTTTTTTTAGAGAGAATGTATAAGAGAGTAATTTTTTTTTTGGGATTTGGCTATATAATGCCAATTGTTTGGGGCTATCTTTGTCAAACCTAATATAAAGCTAAAAAATTGCCAATTCCTTTCTGTTATGTGTTGTTATAGGATGCCAATTTTTTGATAATCTGCTTCAGTTTGATTTGGCCCAAAAAAGAGTTGGGTTTAGTTCTTCACTCTTGTTCAAGAGCACCAATTGTGCAAATTTTGATGGAATTTTACCTCCAATAGCAAAGGTTAACACCTTATTTATTTAAATAAATACCATTTAAAAAAATTATATTCTATAGATACCTTTTAATGTTTATAGCAAAATATTTAATTTTGGTTACCTCTTAACCCTAAGCCACTAAATACGCTATTCAGTTACACTATTTTGATACGCTATTCAATAATGAACCAGACTCACACAAACTCTGCTTCACCGGCGTGGAATTAAGCAAATCATCATCACTTAGTAGGTCAAGAATGGCATCCTTGCCTCTTTTGGACTTGGCATTTCTTGAAGAAAAACTAGATTCTAAAAAAGACGACGACATCCTTGTTTTCTGATCGGATTTTAGAAGGACTTTTAGATCCATTATCACCTTTTGAATTTAGACCAGCACTTTTTTCCTCCTCATCACATTCGGCAGCATTTCGGATTAGAACTGTTGGTGTAGCTGACTTTTAAAGTTGATTCACTAGTTTCACGACCCGCATCAACAACTTCTTTTTCTTGCTCATTAGATACATCCTCAATGGACTACCGGCTTCCTGTGAACGGCGAATTCACCGAAAATTAGAGTTTGTTCTTGAACAAAGACGGCGGAGTTTGGGGCTGAGCAACTTGATTTTCTGTTAATATATTTCAATGTATTTTCATGTATTTTATTGTATTCATTGTCTTTTTTTTCATTGTAATTCAATGTATCTCGTTGTATTCCATGTATTTCACTGTATTCACTGTCTTTTTTTCATTGTATTTCAATGTATCCTGCTGTATTCTATGTATTTCATTGTATTCACTGTCTCGCTATATGCCATGAATGTATTCATATGTTTTTTTAATTAATATAATTTATGTATTCAGATGTATTATATAATTTCTCTGAAGATTGCTATGTTTTGGGGGTATTTTTCGGTTGAAAATCTTTTTTATAACTAAAAATACAAAATTTGTGTGTTATAATTGAGTTTGTTGAGTTATATTAGGAGTCTTTTATGTTAGTTGATTCACTTTCCGTTTTAAAAACAGTGTAATCCCCTATTTCACGCCGTGAATACAGTCGAATACAATAATATGTCCAGCTGTAATCCCATGTTTCACTCCATAAATACAGTCGAATACACTCGAATACAACAACTGATTAGCTGGACTTCCCTAATTCACGCCTATTTTTGCTACTGTATTCATGAATACAATAACTTCAATACATCAAATACATCGTATAACCACAGAAAAGGTATCTATAATCCGTAATATAACAAATGATATCTATAGATGACTAATTACTATTAAAAAATAAGCTTTATAAAAATTTCTCAATTTTGATTTCGCTAGCAGGAGCTAGTTATGTCTATCTACATTTTCCCAATTTGGTTTTTTCAATGATTGTTTGGATTGGAGGGTACAAATATTTGCTAAAACTTTACATCTAAAATTATGGCCAATCAGAATAATGTTCAGATTATTAAGAAAGTCATCTGTTCACCAACTAAGTTGTGTGAGCATGAATTCTATGTTAACATGGAATGCATGTTTCTCTTTCGTATTGTATCTTTCTCCTTACATCGGTTAACCTCGCGAGCTGGTTAGATGCATGAGGCAAAGAGCTGGCACTACCCCATTTGATTCATCTAGCCCTTTTTGGTGTGTTTTAACCCTATAGTTTCTTATATTCTATATGTACAATATCAACTAGCCTTCAATTCCAAACTACTTTAATTGCCTTCTTGGCCAAGCTTCTCCAAAGTCAAAAGTACTTTTTTTATAAAGTTATAGTGTTTGGTAAGAGAAAAAAGTGTTCTTGAGTAGAAGCAGAAGCAACAAAAAAATAGTAACTTCTCCCCAGAAAAACTTCTTTGAAAAGCACTTTTGAGAAAAATATACTTAAAAGTACTTTTAAAAGAACTTGGCCAAACACTAAGTAGGCGTTTGTACATAAGAATTGTAAAATTCCAAAAAAATGGTGAAAAGTTTTTTCAAGTGAAAATGGTATTTGAAATTTAGAGTTGTGTTTGGACATAAATTTCAGTTTGGGTTGTTTTCGAAGTTTTGTGAGTGAATTTTGAAAAATAAACTTTTACAGTTTTTCAAATTTTTGAAAATTTCCAAAATGCATCTTCAAGTGAAAATTGAAAATTTTATAAACAAACGCTGATTTCAAAAAAAGTGAAATTTTTTTGGAAAAATCTTCTATCAAATTTTATGTCCAAACGGGCACTAAATGCTACTCAGAAATGCTTTTCAAATTAATTAGCCAAACACAAATTGTTTATCACCAAAAGTAGTTTTGAGAAAACGCTTCTGAGAAAAACACTTCTCAAAATAAGCTGATTTTAGAAACTTGGCCAACATGCTATAAGTCAACTATAGGAATCCTCTGTATCCGAGAGGATATATCATTTGACTATTTTCATGCCGATCAACAACTGATCACAAATCTTCTTTTTTGATCAAACATGGGAGTGGTTGTGCAAATGCATACATACTGACAGTTACATTGAGAACTCAAAAAGAAAGAGAAAGTAGTAAATAAAAGTGAGATTATGATAATCAAACTCAACCGGCCCAAAGAAGGCTTGCTAACTGAATCTAGTGCATGATAGTAAAACAAGTCAAAAATGCAAGGGGGGTACCTGCAGAATTCCAAAACTTCTATATCTGTACTCACCATATACTCAGACCAAAAATTGTAGAAAGTTGTAGATCCTCTGATAATCTAATCGGCAATGTTACAACAACAGTCGCCGAGGGCTCATCTAGCAAAAGTTCAAACCCCCTTCTATTATCATTTCAGCAGCAATGCCCATAGCACCGACACCACTAGCTTCCAAAAGGGCCAAAGCTAACACTTCCTCGTTCAGTCGTTTCAATCCTTTGCTCAGCCTCTTTAAAACATCAACATCCACCTCCAAAAGCCAGCTTGGTGTGCATCCGACCATTAAGCCTATGAATCCTGAAACGTATGCTCTCCATGTAGCCTTGTTACAACCAAGTGATATTTTCCCATCTAGTGCACTCGCAAGAAACTCCAAGTGTGCTCCAAGAATACTTGGCCGCCATTTAGATGCGGGTGACAATGAATCCACACCCCAAGCAAATGTTCCGGACAGAAGTGCAAAGTAAGCAAGGGCATAACCCCTTAGCCTTGAGACCATTCCCTCTGAGACCCCACCGTTGGGCTCTGATCTATGTGCTGATATAAACCAAGATGGCAATGTTTCTTTTAGCAAAGCCTGGACCAAACTTAAACCACCTGTAATCCAAACTAGTGAAGCACCCAATGAAGCTGCAAGCTTGACACGGGTCATTGCTGAAGCAAGAGAGACCTGACAAAATGCAGGGAATCCACTTTCCATGTTATGACAAGAGAGAGAACTCATCGGATTTCTGGTTTTCTTGAGTTTCTCCAATTCCTCAGCGGGGAATCCACCATCCGCAATAATTCTGACAAAATACATCAGAAGGGTGACGACCTCTTCTGCCATAAACATGACATTTCTGACAACTCTATGAACACGCAAGTACAGTATACCAGGGGCAACGGGAGAAATACCACCAGAAAAGTGCGAGCCAAACCCATGACCAAGAAGTGAACCGACACCACCATTGCTTTCTATAGAAGATGTACCTAGACCTAGTGTAGCTGTAAAGCAGACCCGAAGCAATTGACCTACGGCATCACTGCTGTGGTGGAACACGGTCCGGGATGCAGAGAAAACAAGAAAGTCACTCCAACGTCTAACCTTTTGCGCCCATAGGGCAGCTATAACAGGCATACATGGCCAAGGACAACTTGTAGCCAGGTTACTCAATGCTGTGCCCACCAAGTTCAGAAAGCGGTCAGTACCTCGTTCAAGCTTATATGTAATGGTGAGGCTTGCAAGGACTGCCAGGGGCAAAGGAAGAATAGCTGGAGAATTTCCACCTACAAAGCACATAGCATTAGCTAAACAATGGAAACAAATGAATGAGTAGTTAAATTCCCTGCACCTAATTACTCCTATGCACAGATGTGTTAGATACAGAGGTAGAGCCAGGATATAAAGTTTATGGGTTCTGAACTAGCCATCGAACCCATAGCCCACAATTAAATAGTTATACATCTTTAATGGATTTTTAACACATACAGGGTCTAAACAAAAGCTACTGGGTTCGAACCCGTAACTCATACGGTAGCTCCGCCCCTGATTAGATAGATATGGTAGTCTAGGTCTGCCACATAGCAAAGTTAGAATTGATAAACCCTAGTCAGCTATTTAGTCAGAAAATATAATTCGATATTTCAACAAAGGAGATTAGGGATCTAATCCCCCAAAACCATACTTTAACGTCACGACAAAAGGAATGGAAAAAGAAGGGTGGGGGTAGATTCACGTTCATTCCGCCACTGTATGATTCCTCTCCATTCCATTAAGAAATTCACACGGGGCGATTAACTTGTCACAACGGTAACCAGACCCATAGGTTAGAAGAAAGAGAAGAGGGGAAGTACGTTTCTAACGCCACAGTTCCTCTCGTCTTATAAGAAACAGGTGTCAGATGAAATCAAACGAGTACACACCTACAGAGAGACTTGGTACATCTACACCAGTAGCAGCTAGGATTTTCTTAATCTGTTGTTCCACTGTTGCTAAATTTGCAGCTGGACTTGGCCAATCAGTTCCATTCATAAAAGCAGGCTTCCAAAGACCCCGTGTCACTTCAGCTGAAAAGTAACTTGCAATTGTTGCCAAAGACGCAGGAAGAAAGTCAGCTAGATCCTTAAGACCTGAGATGGAGAAAATGCAGCGTTCAATATACTAAGAAATAGAACTCATTAACATAGACTTGGCAGCATCATCTACGTGATAAGTTCAAGTTTCTCGTGCGAATTTTCATCTTCTTTCTATCTTTTTTCTCTGAGTTGCGTGTGTGTGTGCATAGTGAATATAAAGGGTCTATCAAGCAGTGGCCGTATGTAGGAAGGAGACACAATATATCTTACATCAAAAGTCCTCTTCTTCTCATTAAAAGGAGGTTAACAACTTCACTCTTTTTCTGTTGTTGTTTTTGTGTGTGTGTGTGGGGTGGGGGG